TTTTTGTTTTCCGCTTTGACTGCCCCTCGATTTCGCCGTCTGGCACGTCTGGCAACGCCAGGAGTTACGCCAGAATTCCCGTTTTGACTTAAACGTTTCGTCCGTAACACCGGAACAGGCTCCTAGGTGGTAGAAGTAGCCACATTCTACACATTTCAACGAGTTACTTTCAACTTGCAGTTCATCATCACAACACGGACAAGTATCAGGCATGGCACCAGCACAGGAAAAAAGACCGGGCAACTAACAGCAACAGGGTAGCGTAACAGAAAGCTGTGGCAGCAGCAGCAAAACGTGAATAATATGAAAATTTCACAGAGTAGTAAAATAAAATTCCAACCTGAAATGGTTTAAGCAGATCAGAGATATGCACAGTCGCCGCTGCTGCTGCCAAATGATGGTGTTCCGGCCGCGTCGTATCTTGAAGGCTTTGACCCTGGCGGCGTCTTGTAACCGTCTGTCGAAAACAGCAGGTGATTGGAAATCGAAGTGAAGATAGCCGGGGCTTGAAGCACGAGTACCAGGGTGATGATACAGCGACTGAAATGGTTTAAGCAGATCAGAGATATGCACAGTCGCCGCTGCTGCTGCCAAATGATGGTGTTCCGGCCGCGTCGTATCTTGAAGGCTTTGACCCTGGCGGCGTCTTGTAACCGTCTGTCGAAAACAGCAGGTGATTGGAAATCGAAGTGAAGATAGCCGGGGCTTGAAGCACGAGTACCAGGGTGATGATACAGCGACTGAAATGGTTTAAGCAGATCAGAGATATGCACAGTCGCCGCTGCTGCTGCCAAAATCTTGTGACATTGATTCGTCATCAGAACGTCACAATAAGGCTGTCAGAATGAACACTGAGGACGCTGACAAACTAGCTACGCTTTATCGTGTAAAAAGCCGAAAATCGAAATTTGAGTTTTCACTTCGTGTTTCTCAGGCTTATTATGAAAGTAATGAATGAACAAAACTACTCGGTTATTTTTAATGGAGGTTGAAAGCGTCCTTGAGGCACGTGCTCAGGAAAATTGTTTTATAAGCTCTTGAGGTTAACCATCCCCTTCAGCTGATCTGCTATATCGCAAAAATAATAAAAAAAAATAATAAAGAAAAACTGCACCCCTTTCCAGCGATGAACTAACTTCGATAAGGCAAGGATTCCACTGTACACTGTTGCAGTGTGAACATCCGAGACAGTGGTACAAATAAAATGAACGGCGCAAGGATACCTGGTGAACTTTTTAGTGTACTCAGTCTGGGTTTTCACAACGCTGAAAGTTGACCGGCTTACCTGTCTCTTTTGTATAAATTCTACTTCATACTGGCTCGCTAAAACAACAACAAAAGTAAATAAAGCAATAAGCGATTTTCAAGACGTCTAGTGACCTGTTTTGCCTACATTGAATTATAGTACGCTGTTTAAGTATGGTGTTTTTTGTTTTTGTTTTTCATCACGGTATCAACACTCGAAATTCGCGCCACAGTACTGAAGTGTGCGTCCGCTTGTTGCTGTGCCGAGTTGGTGACAACAATCAACTAAAATTTCGTAATAATACTGCATTGCGGCTATTTAATAAACAAAGCAGGACCTATACATGCTACACCAATGCAAATAAACAAAAGAGTAAAGATAAATGAAAAACGTTTACAATCCACTGTAACGCCGAATTAGAGCGCAGCTCTTGAGGAGGAGGAGGGAAGGGTACTGAGGGGGGAAGGTGGAAAGTCCCCCACTACTAACATGGTTGTCGATCGACATGTGCTGAACGCAAGTCTCAGAAAATTCACATCTTTGGAGAGAGCATCGCGTGTAAATGTGGTGGGAATTTAGCGGGGAAATTTTTTCCGCTAAATTAAGCAGATACATTTTTTCAGCTAAATTTTGACGGGGAAATTTTTTCCGTTAGATTTAGCGGGAAAATTTCTTCCGCTAAATTTAGCGGGGAAATGTTTTCTGATAAATTTAGCGGGACATTTTTTTTCCGCTAGGGACGTCCCACGTGACGTCACTGGTGGTCTTTGTGACGTCACGTGACGTCATTGTGATGACGTCATCAGTGATTGTCACGCTTGACGTCATCAGTAACGTCAACAGTGAAGTCACGCGTCTCATAATGCACCGCGCGGTTACGCCGACGGCGACGGCGACGCCGCTCAAGCCGGAAACGGTACCTAAGAGCTGCGCTCTAAAAAAAAGATAAAATGACACCTAATCCGTTTTACTCCGAACACGAAACTCGGGCACATGGTGCTCCACATTTTAAAGCACCGATAGGAAGGCTCATGACAACATAGATAATTCCTTGCCGCGTCAGTTAATGGCGGATTATATCGAAATACCCCGTGGCTTGCGCGTCACCAAACCGGGCCCCGACTACAAAACAGAACAAACGTATAGTGGCTGGTTTTATTTCAAATGGTCGCGGGGTTTTCACTTTCCGGGGGGGGGGGGGGGGGGGGGGGGGGGGGACCGTCCCGTGTCTCTTCCGCCACCCCGACCGCGGAGCGCTCCGGAGTAAGGGGCGGGCCGCCTTCGTCGGAGGCGACGCTGGTTTTGCCTCTTGGCTAATTGTAAGTGAGCCATAAACACATACACGTTTGGAGAGACTTCTAAAATTGAAGGAGGCGCAAACCGTATGTTCAGTGGATTGTTTTTCAAGTATTTGATCACCAATGATGCAGGCGCTCCGGAAAAGGTTTATTACGCGGAAGGAATTTAGATCGTCTATTAGGCCTCATAATATTTTAAGAAGAACACAGCAATTCCTGACCCCTTGTCGATTGCTCCTTGCGACCTTCTTAAGAATCTTTACTGTCTGATATCTCCGAAAAGCTTCAAATTAGATTGTTCGGTGATTACTTCAAATAAAATATTTTGAAATTCTAACAACTTCATATTTCTAAATTAATGCATATAATTTATTATTTATTGCGTCTTGGTGGCTTATCAGAGGATATAAATATAAAATGTAATGTTTCGTTCTCATGGTTTGCATTATAAAGCTTGAATGTTTTCAGGTGTGCGAGTTTCCATGGAAATATTAGATGTAGCCCGCAGAACCACACCTCTTCAAGATTAAGTCTTATTATTTCTTTATGCCATAAGCACTGCTTCCGAAACAATTAGTAGTATTCGTGTACCGATTCCGGAGGTCATTCTGGCCAGCTCTAGATGTGCATTCGTTGGTGTGCTATGCGACGACGTACCATGAACGTATATCTGACAAGATTATCATGAGAGCAAAAATACCACAGGTGCCGTCGGCCATTTCCTGATTTGGTACCCAATATCTTGCAGGAAATCAAAGGTAATAGAAGGGCAGGCTTTGAGGAATCATTCCCAAATTTGATATTTATTTAATATATTCGATATTTTAGCACATCGAAACTCTCCATAATCAAGGCATATTACAAAAAGGAAAAAAAAGTTCTAGTGTGTTCTTACAGTCTTTGCGTCAGTTTTTTTTTTTTTTTTGTGGGGAGACAAGGCATTGGTGATTCTAGCGCAACTTTTTTTGGCAACCTTGGTAAGGTTTTATATGAATCACGCCTTCTCTTATTGATATATCGCCCACCGGGCGCAAAAAAAAAAAAAAAAAAAGGTTTGGTATGGCCACAAAAAAAAAAAAAAACGGCTTTGTATTCGAATTTTTTCACTGGAACTCTAATTATATTAAGTTGCTGTATCTCTGTTAAATTATATCGGGTGTAGTCCTTCGTTTCTGATCGCATAAGATGCTCTCTGTGCTATAGTAATCAGAGTTTTAATAGTAGGCTTAAAATTATAAAAATCGCGGCAGTTGGCAATGTACGATTTACATCTTAAGTAGTGTGGCAAAACGCTTTATTTGGATGAGTAGTCCTGATTGGGATGCCCTTTCTAATGCTACGTTCTCGCGGCCGAAGCTTCCACAACGCTGCACGTAACTCTTGAGATGGAGCTCTAGCATTTCTAAATTGCACGCGTTGGACATAGGAATGCCCACCAAAGTTTCTTTTCTTCATACTTGGTAATTCTGATGAGATGGAAGCATTGCAAAAAACGACTCTTGCTTTAATGTGAGTTGAACAAGAGAGCCGCATCGACCAGAGACTCCACGAAGTCGTTCTTGAGCTCAGCGAGCACTTTCTGATTTTCCGACCTTCCGACCTTCTGAGCACCGCTGCTTTTAGGAGCCTACATAGATCAGCGATAACGTATGGCATATATCGTGCTGCTATGCCGGGTAACTGGCAGACTCCAGCCCGTGCTGCCGAGAAGTCTACGACATCGAGAGTCTTGTATATGCTGCGGTCTATGACACCCATGCGAACCTTTCCAGCACACAAACATGGTATTTTATTTTTAATTGTACTTTAGTCATATGTAAAAAAAGTGAACAGAGAGGACGTGCGGGCCGTTGTCACGGGTTGTCACGGGCATATACCTAATGCATCGGCGCCAGCCTTTTCGTGACTCCGGCACACCCTGCAGGCCCTGCACGTCCCTACCCGCACCAAAGTACAATACGTACATATCCTATCACATTATATGATACTCCGCGCTGATCGCGTGCACATAGAGCGGAATTTTGTTACACTGCATCTATACCTGAACAGCGAGTCAAACCCTTTTGTGAGCGATCGAGCGTCGCACTCAAACAAATGGTCGGGTGAGAATTGTCACATATGTCTACGGTCACAATTTGTTCAGCGTATTGAAAGATGTTGAAGTCACTTCGCCATCTTCAATACGTACAAGCTGGCAATCGCTTCGTGAAGCTTACGACTGCGAGTAAATGCAAAAAAAGGAAGAAAACAGCAACTAAAACAGTGCATAAAAAACGCGGACCGATGAAAGGATTACACATGACGAACGCTCACTCACCTATAGTTCTTTGTACTTCTTTCATCGGTCCCTGTTTTTTGTGCGCTGTTTTTTTATATTTTTATAGTTACGAACCAAGACGTCTGCACCGTCACTTTAGAAAAAAAAAGAAAAACGAAGTAAAAGACGGGCTTCATACCAATGACTCTGAGGTAGTGAGTGACGTTCCTCTTGAGGTCGGCGCCGTAGTAGACGAGGCAGTAGTACTCTCCCTGGTCGTACATGCTCACCGGGTCGATGCTCAACCAGATGGGCAGCCTGGTGGCCCGCACCTGGAGTCGGTCTCGCCACGAGGCGCTCGGCCTGTGCGTCATCTGACGCACGGGGACGTTGCGGCCCTCGGACGTGAGCATGTAGATGAGCTCGGCTCCCTTGTACCAGCGGATCTGCGACGGGTTCTCATCGCTACCCACCGCGGGCAGCGTCACGTTGCAATACAGCTTGCCCGTCTGGTTCTTGATGACCGTGATCTCGTTGTGGACACCTGCAGAGGCGTTGCGTACGCAGGATGATCAGGGTCCATCTCGTTTCCAGTACACAACGCGTGTTTCTCTGTTTTTGTATCGAATCCTCAGGCTTGTGTTCGAGGTTTTCTTTTTCATTTTGGTTTTTGAGCGGTTTAATATACGACGCTGAATGTTCAACTGGCGCGGAAACTTAGCGAGGAAAATGTCCCCGCCAAATTTAGCGAAAATGTTCTCCGCTAAATGTAGCGGAAACATTTCCCGCTAAACAGCGGAAAAATTTTCCCACTAATTTTAGCGGAAAAATTTCCCCGCTAGACTTAGCGGAAAAATTTCCGCGCTAACTTTAGCGGAACATTTTTCCCGCTAAATTTAGCGGAAAAATTTCCCCCTGTAAATTTAGCAGAACATTTCCCCCGCGGTTGCGCTGACGCCGACGGTGACGCCGACGCCGCTCAAGCTGGAAACGGGCGCCTAAGACCTGCGCTGTAAAATAAATAATAATTTTGACTTTTATAAAAATATATTATGCACGGATATAAACGAGACCAATTAATCGATAAATCGGTTAAAGGGTGGTGATTAATGAGGTTAAGATTTTTAATGGACGCCCAGTCCTCTAGTTCGAATCCAATAGCACCGCGTCATTCATAACCTTTACAGTGGAACGGAAAGCCACGGAACCGATTTTCTTAGCAGTGTAAAGCTAGTGATGGCACTGCGCTATTCGATTCAAAGCGGTATTCGTACTCCGAAATACAAATTTTGTTTTAGCTGCCACAGTTCCACTCGAGTTATTCTAATTTGCAGTGGAACTTGTGATAATTTTCTATTAGCGGTCGAAAGACATAAAATGGCCACACAGATTCAAGACTCTCCCCTGAAATATCGAGGTTCCATTAAATGAAAGGGAACGAGTTATGCGAATGAAGTGACCCTTAAGCGCAGCGAAAGTAAAAGCTTGTTTTACGACAGAGCCGCTGCAACGCCTTGACAATATTAAAGTAAAAACGCCTTTAAAAAGGAAAACTTTACAAACACGCGAACAATAACAATGACCCGCGCACCCACACATATATAAGCGCCTACACTTCCGCGCGATGTTTCGACCCCGGACACAAATTTCGTCAAGCTTCTTCGTCGTATACAATGTACACAATCTGCCTGAACACTCCCGCGAAAAACGACGAAGCGGCGGAGGAAAAAGCAAAACCTATGGAGCGTAAAATTGGAAGCCGGCGGATGGGCTTTGGCGCTCCTAAACAAGGTGCTAAAACGGTCGAAAAGTTGCCTAACGTACGACTCCGAAACGCGTATCGCGAAGCCCCTCCCTCCGTGTCGCCTCCACGGCCTCGTTCAACCGGAGAGTGAAAGGGGACGTATAAAATACCGGCAGGCGCACGTACAAACGCCACGTTGTCGCTCGCTACATCTTCTGCAGTGGAAACAAAATCTCGGTTATATTGGGATGCAGGCGCGTTCTTGACTGAAGATCGTGGAGTGTAAAGTTTAAAGACACACGCACCAAAGCTGGGGATCCCTTTCATTGAATCTGCTTGCGGAGGGAATGATGGAATAGGGATGTAGACCAGGGGTGCACAACATGCGGCCCGCGGATATGACACTCAGAGATGTGCTCAAGACGGCAACCAGTGCAGGCTTGTACAAGATACTCACTAAAAGTATTTAAGTTAAGTTACTCAGTACTACGAAAAATAGTAACTAAGTAGAATACTAAATACTCAAATTTGTAAAGTAATTGAGTAAAACACAAAATACTCCAAAAAGGTAACTCGTTACTTTCAAGATACTCTCAAGTTACAATTTTCTCTGCAATTCATTGTCAAGCACAACCGAAGTCAGAAAAAATTCTTCCTCCCAGCTACTATGAAATCCCCTGGAAATCTCTTAGCTAGACTTTGGCTGCCACTCAGGCGCCTAGGAGGTCCCAAGTAACTACGAATGAAACAAAAATAAAACTGTCTTTTACTTTATTCCCTTGCTATGGCGAGGACATAGGCGAGGGCAGCGTGAGGGCCATTCGCCTGCGGAGGTAGTTTCTACACAGAGGCTCGCCTCCGACGCTCCCCTTGCGTCAGGTCACTTCCTTTCCGCTTCACCCGTCAGTGCACTGGCGGTGCCGCGCAGTCGGGGGTCGGGTGCCTACATGTTTCCGCCGCTCCGCTGTTTAGGGTGGCGACAACGTTTGTGATACCTGTTACCGGCAAACCAGTGTTGCCTACCTCGTCACCATGGCAACCTGCGCTGTTTTCGTCCACCATTTTGTCACACTCGCCGGTCGTGCGCTCGCATTACGCCGCTAATACTCGTTAGGGCTAGGGAGCGCCCACCGCTCTCGTTCTAACCAGTGTTGTACGGAACGGCGTTCCTGGAACGCGTTCCTTTTCGGAGGAACGAAGGAACGCCGCCGTTCCATTTTGCATGGGTGGAAATGGAACGGGAACTCGTTAGATTTTTACGGGAACGGAAGAAGGAACGGCGTTCCTTTTGCTTTGTCCAGTGGGGTAATTTTTATTTTACTTCTAAGAAGGAAATTCAAAAAAAAAAGTATAAAAATAATATACTTACGCACAGCAAGATCTCGTTAAATGTTTTGTTACTTAGGGTTTATTTTTTGCGGTCCTCGCTTGATAACAGTAGGGCGCAGGAGGGATAGTGAACATTGATTCTCTTTTCAGTGCCCGAGACTGCGGTACAGAAATCAAAACATTTAGTCGAAGGAAAAGGCAGAAAAGGGATGTCTCAAACTCAGCTACTTTCTCTGCTTCCATGAATCATCATACACCCAGAAATCTAAGACCGACTACAACCATCACTGAACTTCTAAAAATAAAAAAAATTAGTTACACTAAAAGAGCAGATTACCAAAAACAAATGCACCCTTGCATCCCAAACATTGGTCAGATGCACAAAAATTAACCTTCATTCCCTCTCCTCTTCTCCCACCTTCAAACTGAACAATACATCCGACCTTCACGAAAAAGGACTGGTAGTTTTCAAGACTGACCTTCCAAAAGCCCTACACTCTTTTCCACTTGCTTGTCTTACGGACAGCAATATCGAGAAGAAAGTGTTGTCCAGTTCGAACACAGGACTTTGTTAGATTGAAACGTGTAAGGTTGTTGTAAAACGCTTGTGCAATGTAGGGTGACAGTACATTTGGCTTATCTGCATAGCCCACCACAAACATGAATAACATGAATAAGGCAAAATAAGGAACGTTAATAAGGCAAAACGCTGAGATCTTTTAAAACTGAATATAACAACGAATGAAACCTTGCTTCTGCTTGTTGTCCTTCCTCTTTATGTCCTTCCATCACGGCCTTCAAATTCGTGTGCTGTCATTTGATGAGATCCATAAAAAAATTAAACTGTTTCATCTAGCTAAATATGGTAATTAACTAAATACAAATGTAACGTATATGTAACGATACGTTCCATTTTTTTAACCGTAACGGGAACGAGTTCCTTTCTCACAGATGGAACTTGTAACGGGAACGCGTTCCAAAAATCAAAAGGAACGAGGAACGAGCTTCCGTTCCTCTTTTTGAAGAACGTGTACCACACTGGTTCTAACGGCGACGCAACGGCATGCGATGCCGGTCTGATGCTTTTCATTTTGTCGTGGGAACTCGCGTTTCGTTAAAAACAACGCACACTTTCTGCTCGCAACTTCAAAAATATGAAACACCCGAATAAAGAGAGCGACAACCACCACGACCGTCATCCCGCTGAGCCTCCGACTCCTCTCATGAACGGAAACGGAAGTGGTCTCACCGTGTTGCCGGTGTTTCGAGACTACAGAAACTCAACTTTGTTTTCGTTTAGCGAATATAGAAGTGGGAAAAAATGGCGGTGAGAGAGGATCTGGAAAAGGGTAACAAGAAGTTGGCGCCACCATATAAAGCGGAGCGAAGACATGCAGGCACCCTAGTCGGGGGTCGGGGAGTCCAGGCCAGGGGAGAGCGGGCGCCATCGTGGTGGGCGCCGGCGGTCATTCGTGCTACCGAAGACAATAGCGAGTTTTAGTAGACCGTGTTTCCCTCTCCATAAGCCCCTCCGCTTCCTGGAACTCTACAGCCAAGGGCGTTCGCACGCAGGCGCAGTGGCGGTTTCTTTGTAGCGGAGGGGCAAACATGGTCTACTAAAACTTGCTAATGCTAGGAACGCCGCGAGCGATGGGCCGCCTGATTGGAGCCGTGTAGTCGCGTCTTACGAGTCTTGTGTGCGAAGAGAGCCTAGTGAAACGAACAAGCGGTGTGTGCGACTGTGTGCGGATGCAAAGGCATTTTTGAAGAGGCTTTCTTTTATATGCTTTCACTCCATGAAATAGAAAAATAAACTCCGGTTTACTGTCGACGCTTACCAGACACTTGTAGGACCCACCCTCTTTCCGACACAAGTGCCCTCCCTCTGGCTTGTAGCCTTGTACAGATCTTATGCTTTCACCCGCATGCCCTTCAGCTTCGGAATCTCTGTTGCTCTTGGGCTTGGCCACAAACAAATTGTAAGAAAATGTGCTTCGACGTTTTGCTCAGTTAGAAGACACGACACATGTCCGCTCTGCTTGGGGCTGCGACACCTGCTTCTCCGTGTCACCTCTTTCAGCAGAAGCACAGAAGTGCACTGTATTACCTGGCACGAAATGTATCTGCAATGGCAAGGCGTCTAGCCAAAATAACTGGAGTTCAATATTTTCTAAGCTTCCCGCCTCTGAAGAAAATAAAAAAATAGAAAGTATCTTAAAAGTAACTTTAAAATGAGTACAAGTTGCTTGAAAACGTGTTTAAGTTAGAGAGTACTAAATACTGACGTTCGAAAATATTTGCAAGATACCAAGTTACTCACAAAAGTATTTAAGATACAGCAACTTGAGTAGAGTATTTAAGTTACGTACAAGTCTGAACCAGTATGATGATGCCAGATATTGAAAAACCGGGCAGTTCCCAATCGACATTTTTTTCGGCCTGCGTCATTTTGAGTTGTGCACTCCTTATAT